CTGCATAAAGGGATGATAAGAGTAATATTCACTACCACTAAAAAATCACCCACTATGTGTGGGCACCATATAGAGTGTTTTGCGTGCACTACCCACTATGTTGAGAAAGTGACCATCACACGTAACACAGGTAGACACACTGCACAAAATAATAGCTGCCTTGGCTACGTCACAGCATTTTTGAGAATCAAATGAGACCATTAAGTAATGGAGTTACACATGTGCCTACTGAATCCCACGTTCCCTGAAGTCAATGGGGCTGAAGCCAAGAAGACACCCTGCTTCCAGAGTAGAACGTACGCTCAAGAGAGGTGCCCCCACCCAGCCCCTCAGAGGGCAGGAGAAAATGAAAGTGATTTGAACACAGTTGTGCCAAACAGAAAGGCAAGTAAGTGGCTGCCTGTGAAACCAGGCCTCTTCCACATTGGTCTGCTTAGGGCCCTCCTTCAGAAAGTAAACCCTGGGTGTGTCCCAGCCCAGACAAGAGGCTGGGACAGGGAGTTTGTCTCTGTTCTTGTGTCTTTCTTCTCCCCACTCACACTCCTAGCTCGTGGTGACCTACACACAGTCAGGACCTTCTCAGAGCTGTCACGGCAGTGGACCAGGTCTCATTCCAGAGGCCACTCTGCCTGGCCCAGCCTCCCAGGAGCCAGAGTAGCTGCCTTCTCTGTTTTGGGGCCTTCTCACAACCTTCTCCACCAGCTCACAAAACTGGTGTGACCATCCAGAGTGCACAGTTGAGGACACTGCCACTGGGAGGTGAAGAGAGTGGCTGGAAGCTACATGATCGCCTTAACGGAGGTCAGCCTTGGACCAGTCTCCCGACCTGAAGGTTCCAATCTGCAGCCGAGGCTGACCTGTCTTCTGCCGCCTTCGGACACAGTTCTGGCTCTGGCTCTCTCTGGTCTCTGCCTCTTCACTTCTGCAGGAGTGGCATCTCTTTTCTGGTGGTGTGCGTGCACATGTGTGTGTATGTGTACCTTCCTCACTATGTTCACGTCTCCCTCTGTCTCTCAGTGTCTTGGTCTCTCTCTAGGTCTTTGTCCCTCTTTCTTTGTGTGAAACGTGTACCATTTTCCCTGGGTCTCTGGAAGTTTGTCTCTCTCTCTCTCTCTCCCCGGCAGGTATGTTTGTCTCTCCTCTCTCACCCTCACCCACTGGCACCTGCTGCACCTGCTGTTTGCCAACTCTGTCCCTTACAAAACTCTTACCTCCACGTCCCCAGGGACCATCTGCTTTGCTGGCAGTTACATCTCAAGTACCTAGCACCACGCACAGTGTAGATGCAAGATGTATTTTTGTTGAACATACTGTATGAAGAGAAAATGAAAGATTTCCAACACTGGGAAAGACTGGGGTCTCTCTTAGAGACAGCTGGAAACTGGAAATGGAAAGGGAAGGGGAAATATCTAAAGCTACCTTTTCCAGTCCTTGTAGAGCTTACAATTAGAGGACTTGTCAAATCACTTCTATCAGCAGTCCCTAAACTTTCTGGCACCTGGGACTGGTTGCGGAGGTTACACAGGAGGCAGAGCTCAGGTGAGTTTCACTCTCGGTCCTAACAGGCCACACGCAGCTTTGGACGTGAGGGCCCCAGATCTGTAGCATGCGTGTTCACTGGTGGGGCCCAGGGGCCTAACAGCTTACAAATGTGAAAATGTGGGGCACAGTTGTCAAAAACTGCTTCCTGGAAAGACATAGATAGGTTCAGAGCCCAGTTCCCACGGTCACAGGGCCTTACTGGGCCTCATCTTCTCCCCAATCAAGTGGGAGCAAGACCAGGACCTCAAGAATCGAGTAACTGCTCATAAGGACACGGAGTCCTCGATTTACAGTTAAGGAACTGAGTCCCAAAGAAGGAAAGTGCTGGCCTGCAGGTCACACAGCTATGAACAGCTGCCTTCAACCCCAGGTAATGGAGGATTCTGACCCCTGAGGAGGGACAGGGGCCTCTAGCCACCTGGAGCTCGGAGCAGCCTTCAAAGCTGGCGTGACCACAGGACAAGCATCTAAGAGACACTAACCCTTCATGACAGGACTACCAGTCTTTTCTCTTCTACCCAGAAGGCTGGGGCCTCAGGCCTGCAGTCGCTGCCTTCCCCAGCCCCAGAGCAGCCTCTGCTGGGCTCATGGGGAACCTGGCTCTGCTTAGGCACTAAGAGGCCTTTTAGAACACAAACAACAGCCAGCTGCTTTTCTACAGTTCCAGGCCCAGCCTCCACATCTGCAAACACCGGAGCTAGACTGGATGATGTCGTAAGTCCCAGCAAGGGGTCCCTTTCCATGGGCTGTGACATGGAGCACTATGACAAAGGCTACCTGGGCAGGAATGGATGGCCAGTGGGGAAAGCAGACTGCCCAGTGAAAGCCACATGGACAGACAGAAACAAAAGGCTTTACATGAACACAAACACAAACTAGCAAGTTAGGGTCAACAGATCTTATTTGTAAACTGCAGAAAAATAAGTTGGTAGAAAAACCACCAAACGGGATTTCACTCTGGGACTTCTCCTGGGTAAAGGGAAACCAGGCCAACTGGGTCAAGGGGCAGGGAAAGGTATGTGTGCGGACAGCTCTCACCAGCTCATCAGCCCTTCCCCAGAGCCCTCTGGAGGCGGAGGCAGGCCCAGAGCAGGTGGGCCCCCAGCAGGCCGGAGGCAGAGTGCGTCTCCAGCCTGGCTCTGGGCTCTGGGCTCTGCCTCCCTGCTTGCCCCTGAGAGCCAGACATGGGCAACGCCCTCACTCCAGGATGCACCCATAAGGTACAGCCCTCTAGGATGTGAGGAAGACACAACTCAGCAAAGCAGCCTCAACAGGAGAGCGAGGCTGCACCTCTTCTCGAGGCTCTGTATGGCCTCGGGCCCGCTGATTAACCCCTGTGGTCCTATGAACAGGGCATCATCCGCTTTGGTCCTATGTGGATCAACCAGAAGGGAAGTGTTCAGCACAGAGCCTGGAACACAGCAAATGCGCAAGTAATGCCCGCTACCACGCTTAGTAAAACAACTGCAGCCTGAGCCCTCTTCTCAGGCTGATCCTCAAATTCAACTCTGGGTCATAAGAGTCCATCATCTCCATCTGGGTCTGCTCCACTGCTCATGACGAACCCTGAGATAAATGGATTCCCCTCTGGGCCTCCTATGTCCCTGGGGGACGAAATTCTACCTGCCTGCCACCTTATTTGTTGTGGGGATGTTGTGGTGCTCAGAGTCCCCATAAGGCTAAGTTCTGCAGATGCAAAGGACCAGTGGCCCCAAGCCACTGCTCTCCATTCACTGCCCAGGAGGAAAGATGAGAGGCTACAGCAGGAGGCCAGCCCAGGGGAGCAGGGAAGAGGCGGAGGAGGAGAAGCACCTGATCCCTCCTCACATGCCTTTCTGCCTTCTGTCAATATTTCCTGAGTGTCCCAGTGCAGGCCAAGGAGGCAGAGTAAGTCCAGCAGGACATGCCTTCCTGGACCTCAAATTTTACTTTTCCAAATGTGGGGAGGGGTCTGGTCGAGAGGCCCCTTTCACCCCTTGGATCTCTCCAGCTTAAAGCTGAGCCTGACCCCTCTGTGCTGCCCATCTGCCACCTGGACCAGGGCAGAGCCACTGACATCCTGAAGGGGACTAACTGTCCAGCTTGTTCATCAGACTGGGATCCCAGGACCCTGAGCCCGGAGATTTGAGAAGCTGCAGCTGAGCCAAGTCTCCTTCACAAGAGGCTCACTTCCCATGAGGCCCGGACCTGACTCCCCAGGACCACAGGTAATTGAGAGGAGGAGTCCAGAAAGCAGCTCCCTCAGAGACTGGATAAAAGGCCAAGTTATAAAGCACATAGCAGGGTGTCTTACACAAAATAAGTACACCATCAACAGTAGTTACCACTATCATCACAGCAAAAAACATTTATTTACCAGCAATAAAACGGGGACACTTTCTGGCCCAAAAAGTTGGGCTTCAGTGTTTTTCTTAAACCATGTTTGCACCTCCCAGGGGCCCCTGGTGCTGTCCTCTCCTCAGTGCTTCTCGGCACCAGCTCCCCTCACCTCCTCAAGGCCGAAATGACAGAAGGTTAAGGACACAGGCTCTGGAGAGGCTCCATCCTTTTGCAGCCATTGCTGCCTTAGGCCAGTTGGCCAGCCTCCCCACCCTGCATATTTCACCTGTAAAGTGCAGATAATAGTAACTTAGAGGACCGTGATGAGGATTAAAGGCATCCACAACAAGTAAAGCACTTAGAAAAGTGCCTGGGACATATAAGTACTTAATAAGTGTTAGCTATTATTGTTACTTCATATATGTTGATATCTTATATATCAATATAGTTATCAAATAGTTGTATAAATTTAATAAAATATAATATTTGTATATTTAATAAAATATAAGAAAATACTTATAAAACCTCTAGGTATAACAAACTTTTAAAAACCAATGTTTATTGCCCTGGCCAGGTGGCTTAGTTGGTTGGAGCACTGTCCCGTACACCAAAAGGCTCCGGGTTTGGCATCAGGGCCCATACCTAGGTGGCAGGTTCGATCCCCGGTGAGGGCAAGTACGGGAGGCAACCAATCAGTGTTTCTCTCTCACACTCATGTTTCTCTTTCTCTCCCTTCCTCTTTCTCTAAAATCAATAATAAAATATCCTCAGGTGAGGATCAAAATAATAAAAATAAAAGTAAAAATCAGTGCTTATTTACAGCTGAATCTCTGTCTCCCGTCCCCGCGCCTGAGACCAGCATGGCCATCTCACGACGCTCAGTGGGCAAATGCCCACGCACCGAACACCTCCTGGAGGGGGCACCTCCTGGAGGGCGCGCCTGGGGGGCCTCTCTGCAGGTCTGGCGCTGTTCTGGGGCAAGAGAACGGAGACCTAAGGAACCCAGACCCTAACCAGGCGATCTTAAAGAGAAAACATTTTAAATCTGAAGACACGTAGGAATAAGTCTGTCCTTTTCATGTCTGACATATAGAGAGGCTGGACTACAGAAATGAAACACTGAGAAAGGTTCTCACAGTTCAACATTTATTAAAATTAAAGTAACAAAGTATGGGAAATGAGAACGTGACTCCTGTTAAAATAACACATTGAGGAACTGTTGATTCAGCTAGCACTGTCACTGACTGAGCATGTGACAAGTGTTCTTTTACAAGACATGAAGGCCCTAATGTCCACGCAGAAAACACCAGATCAAGGACGCCACCCAGGTACTGTGCTGCAGGGGTCAGTGGCTGAGTCCGCCTGCCCAGGAACACCCACTCAGACACACGCATTCAGTGTCTTGAGTTTTCTTTCAAAGAAAGCATTTTACACGACATATACAAATTAAACAAGAAGTCCAACAAGGGTCCTTTATTGCCACTGAAATGGGGAAAATAACTCAAAATTTCAAAACCAAAGGCAAGAACATAGCACTAGAGCGAGTTGTTTCTCCTAACGCCACAGCCCCGTGCATTTCCACCGTGGCTGATCCACACGTCACCGAGCCCCAGGACAGAGGCTGCACGGGGCTCCGAGGCTGTGATCATCCACCAACAGAAGAAGCCTCTTCCATTCCCAGATGTCGCAAGTGCTGCCAGCTCTCCTGCTGGGTCAGTAGATACACAGCACAGCTTAATGTGAGGGGCGCAGGACTCTGAATAGTGCACTTAAAAAATACATTCCAACCTCCTTGCTTCTCCAGGCAAACACTTAAAAACTCCAGCAGGCTGGAATGAGTTTGTTCAACCTCCCAGTTTGACCCAACAAGGTGCAAATGGGGAGCATGGAGGCAATTCACATGGCACCTGTCCCAATAATAATACAAATAAAGCTCTTTTAATGAAGCTAATGGCAGATAAGTACACAAAAGAGAGTCTGGAGTGTAGACACAGCTCAAAAAACAAGGAATTTTGTAAGTGTAGTGCGAGTATCTGTGAAGCACATATTCGCCACATTCTTAATGGGGCTCATGAGAGTGACCCTCTTTCAAAGTTCACAGGCAAAAGGCTTCCAAGAGGGCCATCAGCTGGCAGGCAGCAAAGGCCTTACGCTGTTGGAAGCTTCAGAAGAATAAGGAGACAGAAGGGAGTGAGGGCTGGTCTACTAGACCTCGGACGCTTCTGGGAGCATGTGCTGGAGGGCAGGCCTTTTTCTGGGGCTTCTGCACGCCACAGTGGGCCCGGCTCAGCACCAGGCAGGGAGTCGCCAGAGATGGGCCGACCAGGCTCACCACTGCAGAGAGTGGGCTCCGAAAGAGCAGACGCAGATGGGTATGTACCGAGTCTGGCTTAACGTTAGTCCCTAAGGGTTTCAAGAAATACCAGTAATTGTATTTTCTACCCAGAGCTACTGAAAAATCAGTTTGGGGAGCATGAGAAACACAGGAAAGACAGCTACAGGCATGGACTACATTTAAGAGTGAATTACATATAGTACAGAACATAATATTTCATTATCATGGACGATAAAAAGCAATTCAAATATCCTGAAAAATTATCTTATAAAAATATCTACATTAAAAATTTAGCCTGAAAGCTGCAGCTTCAGGTATATAAAAAGGCAATCTTTGAAAGGATCTGGCTCAGGAATATACAAATATTACACAACAAATATCAAAGTAAGACAGCTCAAAAAGCATCTTAGGAGATGTTGCAACTGGTATGTCATGAAATAGAATTAAGTATTCTTATTGCATAGCAGAAAATGAGGTCACTTTCATTTGCATAATACTGCAACTTTTTAGATGGAGAAATGCCATTGGGTACTTATGAGAAGTAACTTTGGAATTCAGAGTCTGACTACTACATAGTCCGAATCAGCATCCCAGAGCATCTAAACTGCTTCTAACCTTGGGCCACAATTGCACTTCATCACTGTGACCAGATTTCAGGTGCACCACGGGCAAAGCTGCACCCAAAAGTACTTGTGGCCACCCGAATGGGCGTTGGGGGTTCATCCCCCATACGACCAGCATGGACTCGACAATAGGCCTGTTGTGCCCAACGTGGAGAGAGACTAGTACCTGGTGATAGAGACATCCAGTTTTTGATGGCATCGGAGGGCAGTTAGAGCAGCTGGCTTTTTGGTGATGACATCACAGTGTTCTAGAGTCCCCATGAGAAAGGACACAGGAGGATGAAGTGAATGTGGCCTCAGCAGCACTACCAGGAGGGGCTGTGCTTCCTCGGAAGGGAAACGTGAGGTGGAACCAATAGCAAAAATCCAGAAGCAGGGAACATGGCTGGCTAGCTTCCAGGGAAGGGACCCTTCTGGGAAGATGATACACAAACAACAGGCTCTCCCACAGGACAGTGAAAGTCCAGCTCCTATGTGGTGGGGGAGGGGAGTTCTCACCTTTCATCTGACATCAGAGCTGTGGGAATAGCACATATCAGACCCTAACCTCATCCTCATCCTCAGCACACACACATACCCTCCAAAATTAAGTCCCAAACCTTCCTCGAAGAGGGAGGAAGAACTTTTGGAACAAAAAGCTCATTCCGTCAGCTTCCAACCCAGAGCCAGGCAGAGCTCTGAAACCAGTCCTCCCCAGTGCCAGGTGAGAGCGGGCCGCCAACCTGAAAGCAGGCCTTGACTGCTTCGGAGATTCCTCCCAGGTCCACCAAACCTGGAGGTTGTAGCCTCTTCCCAAGGCTACTAAAAATTCTGGGTGCCTTGGTCCTCTCCAACTGTCTCACTGAAATAACATCTGCTCAACATCCAAAGTTCCATCTTCGAGACAGTTCAGTGTTTAGTGCACAATGAGTGTGCTGTAAATACACAAAGTGGCCGACTAGCTTGGGGAGATCCTGGTTTGTAACTGTGAGGGTGAGTGGGGGAAGGCCAGTCCCTACAGTATCTGCTTGGGAGGAGACCAGATGTCTCAGAAGCCCGATATCAGGGTCCACAAAGCCCCTGGGCTCCCTTTAAGTGGACTGTGACATCAAGGATGTCTAAACCTCAGCCTCCAAGGTCTAAGACTATTTTCCAGAGACAAGACCCCCACCCCTTATGCCAGAAATTCCAATATAAATAACTTGCTAGTTCAAGGACAGCATGGCTTTAAGGTTCTTCTTTTTTCTAATGTGAATGACTATGCACCTTCAAATACCCACCTCCCTCCAGATTCTGTCATTAATAATTTTTACCTGTAAATTAGCAAAGTTCTCATTAGCTCCTCTCTTAAAATACAAGTACCCCCTAAGACTATGCTTTCAGGGACCATTTCTATAGTTCATTAAAAGGCAAGTACCCCTGAGAGATACCACACATCCAGGGCCACCACCATCTCCCCCCCCACAGGGGGGCCAAGGCGGAGGGGAGCGTTCAGAGGGTTGGAGAGAGGACACAGGCCCTGGGGCCGGGGAGAGCACAGGAGAGGAAGACAGGCCATCAGACAGACATGACCATCGTCACACAGTGCAGAGGACCGGCCCCAGCCAGCGAGCTCCTTTGAAGGCATCCATGTCCATCTGAGCCACGCATGACCCTGTCCGATGCAGGGACAAACCTATCTTTGGATTTGAAGGTAGGGCGACCTTTACTTATCTCCAAGTCAGATCACTTTCAAGGGTAAATAGAATGTTGTGAATAATTACTCCTGGGTAATATGTATAATGGGGACTTTTATATGCTGAAAAAATCCAGAAGTAGGATTCTCTCCGAAACCATTCTGGGCAGGGACTAAAGCTTTTCCACTTTGAGGTGGGTTTTTTTTTGTTTTTGTCTTTCACATATAGTTTTCCCTAGTGTCATACTCAGGCTTCTCTGAAAGCTAGTTTTCCCAGCTGAAGAGACGCAAAATCTCCCAAGCCTGGAATGCACAACATCAAGGACCAGTGGTCCGAAGACTGAGCAGTTCTCGGTGCTTCCTGTAGGAGAGTCCAAGGAAGAGCGCCCGGCTGAGGGGCCAGGGCACCCACTCACTCCTGGCTCCAGCTCTGAGGTTCCACAGTTCTGGAACCAGAACTGTGTCCTTATTGCAGCACACAGAGGACTCAGTGCAGCTCTGAGAACACCCAGCTTTTCTGCAGACAGTGCCAGGAGTCAAGGCCAGCATGTGGGCGTGGTCAGAGCGCTGCTTCTCCTGCCAGTCACTCCTGCACGTGCCTGTCCAGCTGGCCTTCCCAGCAGACAGCAGCCGTAGTAGTCTCAGGGTGCCCTTGGGGCACGTCCGGAGGAGAGGTTTCTGTGATTTGATTTTAGCACAGCGGAAGGATCAGTAGTACAGAAAACCAGTAGACTGTCACAGCCTGCCCCCAACTTAGTGAGATACCATGTTCTAAACACACGTATACGCACACTCACACACACACACACACACACACACACACACACACACACACTTGCGCATGCTCGCTCATGCTCTCTCTCTCACACTGTCCCTGTAGAAACCCCAAAACAGCCCAAAGATGCCACCTGATGCTATCAGAAACCCACTGCTCAGGACAGAGGCCATCACCCCTCAGGGGTGCAGGAGGTGGGTCCTCAGTCTTCACTGTGGACTCCAGTCCGCCAAGTCAGAGGAGGGTGGTTCCCACTTGGCTGCACCCTCTCCCAGTGAATCTCCATCCCTCCGTTCTGAGTCCCAGGCAGCGCTTCTCCCATCCCCCACCTCCCGGCAGTGGGAGTTGGGGTCACAAGGGCTTGTGAATCACAGCAACACCTAAAATGAAAGGGGGAGAAAGTTGCCATCTTAGCCTCTCCAAAGTTATTCAGAGTCCTGACATCTTAAGCCACAGCAAGAGAAAAGGACATAGTTTGTATCCGAATGCTGAAGGGCTGTGGATTCAGGCTGCCAGCAGCTCGCTGTCGTCCACTCTAACAGCCAAGTCTCCACAAGACGTTTGAACCCAGGAGCACAGTCCCTCGACACCGCGGTGAGCGGTCCTACCCACACTGTCACACAAATTCTTCTCTTACTGTAACAACGCCCCCTCCCAACCCCAGCACTGAGCTTAACGATGCGGCGCCCTCACTGGAAACCCAGAGGCAGCTCCGCAGCTCAAAGTTTGTACCACTTTAAGAGAAGTGGTGAGTGATTCACATCTACTTTTAAGGCACTGGAATGAACTAGAAAGAACAGACTGCCTTCGTGAAATAAGAAAAACCGAACTGCAACCGCACCTACGCCACCAGTCAAGCTTCCCTGCAGCCTCTTTACCTCCTCGGGCTCAGTTCCAACACTGCCCAGTGCCGTCATCTAACTGAAAGACCTTTCCAGCGCTGAGCTCCTTTCTTGGATAAACTTTCCAGACACGTCTGTAGGTGCGGCAGTCTTAGCCAAGCTGCACCACACTACACAGCGAGCTCTGTGACCCTGGGGAGATGCACACATGACCCCGAAACCCCTCTGTAGTGGACTGAGGCCGTGGCAGACAATGTAGGTTGATGATTCAGCCAACATCCCTCTTATCTGCTGTCCTCCACTGTGGTGTCCAGCTCCCCCACCGCCTTTCAGCTGAAGGTGCCACGTGACCTGGGCCTGGCCAACATGATTGTGAATGCAAGTCTGCCGGTGCCACAACTTTGGCTTTGTCCCTTGTCCTGCTTGGAGTGCTTGCAATGCCCAGGGGACAGCAAAAGCTATCAATAAAGCTGGCAGAACAGAAAAGAGAGGAGAAGCCTGGTTCTTCAATGACATTCTGAGCCAGCAGACCCGCCCTTCACTTCTTTCTGCCTGAGACAAATATGATCCTTTTGTATGTAAATAAAAGTATCTGTGAATTTTTCTGGTACCTGCTGCTAACCAAAACCCTAACTTATAGGTAGGATCTACAGATATGATGGTAACTGGAGCCTTATTTTAACAAATTCATGACTGCAACATCTTCTGGTTGAAGAGGAAATTAGAAGAGAATTGCTAAAAGCAACCCCAGGACGCCCCAGTGGTGAGATTCTGCTAAGAAGTTCATCCGTGTTAATTTCTGGGTAAAGGCGCAGACACGGAAGCTTGGAGGGAGAGCCCTGAGCCCTCAGACCCAGATACGCTGCCCGTCCTTGAGATCGTCCTGCCCGCACCTCGGGCTTCCCTTTCACCAGGTAGCTTCCTTTTTTTAAAGAGCAGGCTCCTATATTGCTTTTCACTATAACCTTCTTCTTTTTATTATAAAAGTCAAAATATCCCCATTATGGAAAACACAGAAGAACACAAAAGAAAAGACAAACCTTAGTCCCTTCATACAAAGAGAAGCACTATTACTTTTTGGCATGTTTCCTGGCTTCTAATAATCACAATACTTCTCTGAGTGGTTGCAACAGGCCAGGCAGGCGTATGCGAAGCACTTTCCAACGATAATCGTGTTTCGTTCTCTCAAACAGCCCTAAGAGGCTTGGTGTAATTTATTCTCACTTAACGAATGAGAAAACAGAGGTTCCGTCAGGCTGATTACCTTGTCCAGAGTCCCAGGGCAAGCGGCACAGCCGGGATTCAAATTCAGACCTGACTCCAATACGCAGAATCGGCAGCCCTTCACCCCCCACGATCCAGGCCCACGCGACTCAGCTCACACGGTGCATACATTTTGCATCCTCCTTTTTTAGCCTAACAACCTGTCACAAACATTTTCTCAAGGCATTAAAAATACCTTCGCTGTATAAATATTCCACAGTTGATTTAACTGTTTCCCTCATGTCAGACATTAAGTAGTTAGCTTTTTGCTATTATAAATAATGCTCCAAAATAATTTTGTCCGTAATTCTCTGTGTTTGGGGCCATTTCCTTAGATTCTAAGGTAACAGAATCACTCACTTGCTTGTCTCCTTCTCACCTAGGTCTGGAATGAGCAGACCATACAGAGACGGACAGGACATATTCGGCCTGTATACGAAATGCCAACCACTCAGCGGGAGCCCTCCTAGGGTGCGCATGCAGCCCAGGGGCGTCCCTCACTGGCACCCCTGCCTCCGCCTCATCCCACTCCAACTCCAGAAAGAAAATAATGACAGTGCTGGTTTTAATAATTAACCATGAGAACAGAATCACACCAGGATGAAGATGCCTCTAAAATCTTTTCTATTGAGTACAGACAAATCCTAGGTGAGGGGAAAAGTGAAATAAGGTCACTGCACGTGAAGCCTTGGGCTGACAAAATGTGTGAGGTGATACAAGCCCCTTTGAGCCTGCAAGGCCCAACCGCCCTCTGCCCCGAAATCCAAACAAGGCGTGATTGACCTTTCTAACACAACACGGGAATAAGGACACCATCAGAGTCGCCCCTATGTAGATTACATGAGATCATGGGGGTAAAACAGTTCGGATTATGCCTGGCACATTGTATGTGCTCAGCAAATACATGTTAGCTCTAATTAATTCAGTTTCTGGAAAACCAGACAGAAGGAGCTGGACTACGTGGTGGAAACATGTTTGCTGGTCCCCCCTCAGCGGGTGCTGACCTCAGCATCACCAAGCCTGACCCCACCCCCGCACCTCAGCAAACCCATCACACGCTCTCCCCAGGAACCAGCCTCACGCCTTCTCCTTCCTCCGCTGCTTGTGTGAAGTGCTCCCCCCAGCCCTGAGCTGGGGTCGTACAAAAGGCATGGGCTTTGGGAGTCACACCAGGGTCTGAACCCTGGCTTCACCACTTTTTAGCTGTGTGGTCTTGGGCAGCTGTGCGGTCTTAACCAAACCCTCTAAACCTCAGTTTCATCATTTGTAACATGGAAGGTCACAGTCCCATTTGACGAGAGGGTCGTTGACGATACATGAGCAAATTCTACACTGTACTGAACACACCGCCCCGTGGCACAGGGTGGAGGAGCCAGCAGTGGGCAGATTTCTGGGGACTGTGATCCACCCTCCGAGGGCAATCAAGCCCCATCTCCTTCAGGAAGCGGGCCCCGACTCCGCCGGCTCCCGCCGGTCACGTCCTAAAGCCTGGACCGAGCATTCCACTTCGAACCTCTGTGGGCATCATCTTGTGTCTCCTGTTTTGGGTAGGCAGGTCTTGTCTTTCCCATTTAGTTTCTGGAAAGCAAGAGCTGGATCTTATTCCACCTAGAAGACTGCAGGAGAAAAACCAGGAATGGCAATAAAACTCTAAAGCCTCTTACGGTGACTTAGAGCAGCTGGAAGAGATTTCTGAGGCCACATTCAGGTCTGCTGGGGAAACAAACAGGTTTGCTAATTATGGGTACGTGCAGTGGGCACAGAATGAAGGAGTGGTGACACGTGACAACTGCGTGCCACCCCTGGAGGAGGCACTCAGTCCCACGATGAGCAAGCCTCCCCAGCACCCCCCCACCTGGGGCCCCGGCATGGGGTGAGGGCGGGGTGGCGCACACTGACCTGCGTAGCTCCTCCCTGTGCTCATGTTGGCGGGCAGCAGCGTCCATTTGTCCGTGACGGGATTGTAGTACTCCACCGAGGCCAAGTTGCAGGACCCGTCGTCCCCGCCGACCACATACAGGAGCCCATTCACCGCGCAGACCCCTGGGGACCAAACAGAAGCCAAGGGGAATATGACGGCAGGAGCAGCAGGGGATCGGAAGGGACATGAAGAGACAAGAGACAAAACTGGACTTCATCTTTCAAGGAGCGAGAAAACGGCTGCGGTTTGAACTATGCAGTGAGAGACACAATTATGTTTTAGAAGGAAGGGCACTGCCTGTGATGGACAGAACAGGGACTGCCCCGCAGGCTTCTGTCTCCCGCTCTTGGCAGCACAACCGAGAACCGGCTCCACACAAGCACATGCTGACGTTGGCCACTGGGCCCTGAGGGTCGCCCTTTCTGAAAGGTCGCTTCTCTGGCCAGGGAGCTTCACTACTACAGTCTTACAATTGTTCCTGGCTCTGCATCCACGTAGGGCATTACGGGCACAGGCTGCTCTCTACTGGGGCATCACTGCCAGTGTGTGCAGACCCCCCCGCGCCCAGCCCGAGCTACGGAGTGGGACACGCAGGGGATTTACTGCCTGCTTCTACCACTCGCTTGTAAGTTCCTCCCCGATGAACCCTGTTACATTCACACTGCGTGGCACTCGTGACTGTGTCTGTGACCCTTCACCTAACTGGGGTCTAAATCCACACACGGTTCCCAAGGGCGTGACCCTGATCCCAGAGTGAGCTGGTCTGGAAGCAAGGTCTCATCAGTGGGGACTCAAAACAAGAAAATAAAATTCTCGCTCATCAAGTCTTTCAAAGGCCATAGTCCAATATACTGTGTATTTTTTCAAAATTAGCGTAAGGCACTGATGATGCTCAAAAAGTAGTAATCGGCAGTACTGGCGAAGACACTGCCAAAAATACCAGTGAGAGTCAAGTGTGCCACCTCCCCGGACGGTGCGGAAAGCACCGGTGCCCCTGACTCCAAGGTCCCGCTGCTGGCCTTTTATTCTAAAAGACAGTTTTAGACGTAAGCGTTGATTAACTTGAAGGGCCATTTACAATAACCAAAGCATTGCTTATAGAAAAGATGGAAATAACCTAACATGCCCACTAGTAGATTAGTTATTTAAATTGTGATATTGGCATTTAAAATAATATCAGTGTAAAAATATGTAGTATTATAACAAGACATTCATGAAAGATTATAAAATGAATTTAAAAGGCAAGTTATCAAACAGTATCACAGAGTGATTCCATCTCTGTTATAAAAATAGAGACACTCACATGTGAATGTGTGTACACACACACATTTACATCTAAATTTAAATCTCAGATTCTGGACAGACTGGCCCTTGTGAAGGCTCTCCAATTCCTCACTCGCGTGGCCTAAGGCCAGATGGCAGCTTGGACAACGAGCACATTAATTTCAACAAGCCACCACAAATGGGTTCAGCAAACAGGTCATCTGAGGGTAAAGGAAATAAATCCGCCTGAAAGTCACCTGTTTGCTTGAGAAGATGAAGTTACCTGTTTGTCTCTTAGCCCCGAGAAGCTGGGCTAAGCCAATACTTCTGCAGAGTAAGGAGGCTAAAAGCAGACATACCAACGATGGGGCATGACCCACAGGGCAAAGTTCTTAAAATGAAATCGTTTAATAGGGATAGCAGTGCAGTGAAAGTCAGCACCCTCCACTTACAGGCAAGGAACCTGTACACCTAAGTGGGGGACCCTGTGGCTAACTTTTGGGGTCCCAAGCCCTCCCTCCTCCTAGCTCAGAGCCTATCAGCAAATGGTCACTCCCTGTTCATGGTACAAGCTCAGCCCCAGGCCCTGGGCATCTCTTTCAGAGCTAGGGTTTGCGGGGAGAAAAGACCCGCAACCGTCCGGGGCAGACGGGGAAGGCAGTCACATTACCTGCATTGCGCCGGCACATGTTCATGTCTGCCACCTGCTTCCAGGTGTTTGTTCCAGGATCATAAACTTCAACACTCTTCCTCACCAAGGGCCCATCATGCCCACCTGTGGCGTACAGCTGACCGCTGAGAACCCCAACTCCTGAAAGGCAGAGCACAGTGTCCCAGCCTCAGGCTGAGTTCAGTGACCAGAAACCAGGAGGCCTGGCATCCAGTCCTGGACAGCCATCACCAGCAGGGTGATGTGGGGAGTGCCGTTTGGTTTCCTTGGACCTCAGTGTCCTCAGCTGGAAAACAAATATAATGATACCCTGACACCTTATGCAATTGTCAACCTGTAAACATCAAAATAAAAAGTGAATATGGCCCTGTTTCTACTTAGAAAACCCAAAACATTATTTTATGTACGTACATATATGAGGGGGGATCCCCAAAAACCCAGAATTATCTTCTGGAGGGCGAGCCCCTTGTAGCACAGGCTTCCCCTGCTAGGCGAGTGTTCTAGGATCCCACCTGTGTCAGTGCACCAGCTGGCGTTGTTGTGAGAGGCTGTGTTCAGCTGCAGTGAATTTTTCTGAAGACTCTTTCAATGCACTTGCCCATTTCATGATGGGAGATTTATGACTGCACCTGCCCACACCGCATGCAAAGTGTTCAGCAGTTTTGACCAAAGCTGGCATGACCCCTGTGCCCCACCCTCCCTATTTGCCTGATCTCACCCTGAGCAACTTTTGTTTTGTTTTGTTTTCCTGGGTGGAAAAAGTCCTCAAAGGGAAATGTTTTGCCAATGTGGAAGAGGTCAAACAAACAAACAAAGGGCAGAAGCACTAACAGACATCAAAATTGATGAGTTTAAAAACTATTTTGAGTAGTGGAAAAAATGTCTTGACAGGCGTGCTACATCAAATGGAGAGTACTTTGAAGGTGACTTAAGTTTAAACATGTAAGAATAAATATGCAATTTTTTATAAATAAATTCTGGGACTTTGGGGTCCCCCCTCACACATGAAGTGTGTGTAAATAAATGGAGGCTTCACACACAAAGAAAAAAGGCCTGAAAGAACTCCACCACAACAGTAAAAGCAGTTATTTCTGAGTAGTAAAACTGTATTCCTTCTCCCTTTGCCTTTCTATGTTGCGCACTTTTCCTTCGCCACTGTGTTGCTTCTACTGCTGAGCCCAGCACCAGCTGTGCAGAAAGAGAGGAAGATGGAAACCAGCCACGCAGCAGGTGGACGGAGGCCAGCACGGCACGACCTTCCTGCTGCCCTGGAGCAGAAGCTGTTCTCTCCCTCCCCACCAGCCCTTGTTCTCCTCTTAGGTGGCAGAGGGGCATTCCATCAGTCAGTGTTGACAGACCTCGGCTGAGCGCCAGAATTGCATCCCTTAGTCTAGAAGATAAAAGCCAGGCCCTGGCCAGTGTGGCTTGGCTAGAGCACTCTCCCATAAACCAAAAGGCCGCAGGTTTGATTCCTGGTCAGGGCATATGCCTGGGTTACTGGTTCGGGTCTCTCACGTAGATGTTTCTCTCCCTCTCTCTCTCTCTCCCTCCCTTCTCTTCTCTTTAAAATCAATAAGCATGTCCTTGGGAGAGGATTTTTTTAAAAAGCCAGACAGGAGGGAGGTTGTACAGTACCCTAGAAAGACCAAGTGACCTGGTGGCTGGGACACGTGGGTTCTGGCTGGGGTCTCTAACTTCCCTTTCGTGAGCTTCAGTTCCCCCTCGGTGAAGTGAGGGGGAGGCTGTATCAGCAGTCACACTGTGCCCCAACCTACTGCATGGACAGGCTGCACCCCGATAAGCTTGGAGCCTTTCGAAAGCCTGGACAGCAGGGCTTCACTCCCAGAGACACTGGTTGTGAATCAGAAAAAGTGCCTCAGGTGATTAGGGTGTGTAGCCAGGTTTTAGACCCAAGGACTTGATTTCTAGAATATAAACTTCATATGGACAAGGACCATATGTGTCGTCCTATCACATGTGTTTCCCTGTGCCTGAAAGTAGGTGGTAGGTTCTCAACAAATACTGTTTGAATGACAAAATACATAAAATCTCATTTGGCAGTTATGCTGGTTGGCTAGCGGTTCCTTGCAGTTGCCTGAAACTAGCAGCAGATGGCGGTGTTACACCAACAATGGCTATCCACTGAACTGGGGGTAATGAAATCAGGGTTCTGAAGCTACCTTGCCTTCCCCTCCTCCGCAGGCACCAGGAACTAGCATACACTGGGACCAGGAAATGGCCTCTGTCCCCACACCATCTGCTGGCAGTTGCCCACCCCAGCTGAGGAAGCAGGCAGCCTCCCAGGCGCTCAGGGGCACTTCTCCTCCACAGACATGAATACAGAGGCTTCCTGGACTTACAGCCACGGGGCTCCTGGCACCACCAGAGGTCAGGGTTCTTGGGTCCTTGCAGCCACCAAAGACCATCCTCCCCCAGAAATATGTGGGTTCTGCAGCCCAGAGGTGAGGCTTCCCCTAGTCTTATGAATGTGAAGCACCGATGAAAGGCTGACTGGGACCTGAGGAAGGAGCCCACCTCTGGGAGAGACCAGGGCCGCAAACAAGGCCACTGTGCTTCCCTGGGGCACAGGCGGCAGAGCCCTAAACACCCAGGGCTTCCAAGCCAGGTGAGAGGCCGAGCAGCCGAGGGGTCCCCGTCCAGCAATACCCTGAACAGCTGGGCAGGGTCGGAGCAGTGTGGCCTCCAAAGGCAGCTCTGCCCACAAGACGAGCCTGAACTTCCTAAGGCACGTCTGTGCTCCGCGCTGCACAAGGGGCTGCACTTCCAGCCTTCCTACTTGAGACGTTTCTAGAAGCAGCCCTACATTCCAGTGTGTGCTGCCCCACTCCTGCTGAGCTGACCCTGCATTCTTGGGCTTTAAACACCTGCTCTCACACCTCAAGTCACACAGAGGGCTTTTAAGAAGTACAAAGAAGACTCTACCAAGACTCTATAAACCAAAAGTACTGAAAGAGCTCTGTGAAGGAAGAAGAACCACGGGATTGGTGAACTGAACTGGCCCCAAGGGAACACCCACTGCAACCCACTCGCTTCACATATCGGGAACCAGAGGCCAGGAAGGGGGAAGAGACTTGCAGGAGTTGAGCAGACCCCGCCCAGGCCTCCTGACTGACGCCCAGGACTTGTTGCGTGTCCAGGAAGTGCCAGCCCATCAGGAGCAGCAGAGACGAGCTCCCTCCAACTGCATTCCAAACACAGTGCCTTGTAAGTGGGATCATGCAGCTTTTCATTTCTAACCAGTGAACACAATATTTTAATATTGGGAAATATTAAAACAGCATAATTTTTTAGGAATGCTGAGGAAGTAATCATGTATTTAGTATTATAAAATGACATCACAGCTCAATCTTCAAAAATACAAAGACAAAGGAATAACAATGCAGGGAAGAATTCCCAACTGTGGCTTCCCTTCCCAGAAGTCACACCACTTTCCCTCCAGGCCCTGGCTGGTCATCAGTCACCACTCCCCACAGGAACTGGGAGAGGAAGCCAGGGCCTCGCAGACCCTCTCCTCTGGTCCTCTAAGATGATGGGGGAAGACAAAACAGGAAGAAGGGAATGCTGCTCCACTTCCTGGAGAGTCCCAAAGGACCACACAGCTACTAGTCTTCCCACAGGAAGTAAAAACGGGAAGTCATGCTCCTCCCGTGGGGGCCGGGGGCCGAAGCGGAGGAGTGAGTGGGGGCGATACAAGATTATCCCCAAGTACAAGCACTAATAGCTTAGCTCTCAGCCCCTAAAACAGAGATACCAGACAAGCAAGTTCTGGTTTCTCCACTGCAGACTGGGGTAGCTACCTGTGCTTGTCCTACCACTTTCTAAGAATGAGATTCTAATAATTTGGAGGTCGAAAAAGCTAACTTTGAGGTGAGACAGACTTGAGTGGGAATCCTGACTTTGCCAGCTACTAAGGATATAACCTTGAGCAATTTACTCAGTCCCTGGCTGACTTACTTTTTTAATGTTAAGTGAAATCAATACTGTATCTACCTTGTAGGGCTGTGGTTAAATAAATCGAGTCACACAAAGTCCTTATTAGGACAGGGCCTGGCACATGTCAAGCCTTCACTTTCAGGGGACGCAGACATCTCCACAAAAGTGGAAGGGATGGCGATGAAGAATGTATTGTCTCAGCCATTCTCTAGCAAAGTGATCCCTGGGGAAAGGTTAACTTGCAAGCGCTCATGCCGAGCTATGTGGTGCTGGTGGGATCGTGCATACTGAAAGGAAAGAAGAGAGAGGTTAAAAGGGTAGGAGGTTAAGTTGTTGTCTCCAGATCCGCCTGTGAGCAGATCAGACAGCGCCTGCGCCCTGAGGCTCCTCCCATACCTGCGCCACTGCGGCGGGTGCTCATGTCCGCCACGTACGTCCACTCATTGGTCGCGGGGTTGTACTGCTCCACGGTGCTCAGGCACTGGCGGGAGGCCCCATCATAACCCCCAACAGCATACAGCTTTCCTGGAACAAAGTAGATGAGGGTGCTGGGGACCTGCCGTGGAACCAGAGCGTGACAGAAACTCCATCTCTAACCCACTGGGCACCCTCGCCTCCCTCAGACCCCAGGGCCCGCTCCCTCCAGGGGCACCACCAACTTACTCCCCAACCAGGCAAGCATCCTTCACATCTCAGGTGTCTACTTCCTCTTATATCCTGAGCTCCTTGAAGCAGTACTGAGCCTCTTTCTAAATAAGCACCAAATACCCAGAGCAAAGCACTGGCCCAGCACTGCTGAGGCTCAGTGTATTCTTACTAGTGAACTGTTAGATCTTCTCCAGAACAAGACACAAGAGACAGAAAAGTAGAGGGCCCCACCTATGGGCAGGAAGGCTGATTCTCTGGCTAAACACTCACAATAGCAGGCAGAACAAATATGGGAAATATTCTTCAGTGGGAATCCGAACCCTGTCTTAGCCATGGTTTGTACTCTGTCCACCACTCTCACGGGCGGAGCATGTGAGTGGAGGCCTCTGGGTGCACTGTGGGCCGACACGCTAGAATTTCTCTGCAGACTCCCTGTGACCTCTATCCGAGCCACGCACAGGAGCCCTGAAGCACCAGTGCCTATTTTTAGAATAAAAATACCACGAGCTGTGATCTAAGAGCATCATTTCTTCCTCGGGTGGGGAGAGGTGGGAAAAGGAGTCAGGAAATTATTGTCATTATTATTTGAGTTCTCCCAGAGCAGTTATTTAAACATTTTGGGCTGAACATGTAGTCTCGGAATGTGGAGGAAGGTCTCGCATGGGTGTGTGCTGGGGAACCCTACCTCCCCTGTAGACCGCAAGCCTATGGGGACCATGGAGTTATAACAAAGACCTTAAACACTAGCTATAGACTAAATAAACACCAGATGCAAACCTATCTAACAGGGTTACTTAAAATATTTTTTGTCAATGTGTTTTTTCTTAACAGAGAAATACCCAGAGTACAACTAGTACGTGAAAATTTGCAATTATTTTTTGTTAGCAAGAGATTCTCAGGCACCAGGACTACTGGCGTATCACGGCTCTACCCCCAACCCGCTCCCGGGAGGGAATAAAATATGTACGATTACTTCTTCTTTTATCCTTTAGCCTGGTTTTGTTTTCTGCCCAAGTTCTCTCCACTGGCCCTTCTGGAAGAAAGAAACACTTCCCCAGTCGGCCCTCACCTAGGCCAGAGAGAAAAATTCGGACTCTGCAGCTCCTCCTGGGTCCGTCCCACACAATGTGCTGGCTCAGGTGCAACAACCTGCTCACCAGCTGCCCACCGCTCGTCAAAGGCCAAGCCTCTCAGGGAGAAGAAAGGCTGGGTGTGCAGGAGACAAGACACTCCAGAGGGCAACCCCCGTAGAATAAGGAGAAAACCTTATTCTCCATAACACACGATCTCCACACTGTTGGGAGCTTCTGCCTGGTCTCCGAGCTTCACTGTCCCTTTTCCTAAGTACGGATTCTTCTGGGCAGCCGGTAGCAATGCTCCTGGTCTCCATTTTTTTTTTCCTAGTCTCATTCCAACTGCACAGCCATGGTTATGAGATGGCAGGAGGTAGGAGAGGCTTGTGGGGACAATGTGGAGAGCTCTATCTACAAGGCCACATCGAGGCACAGTCCACGTAAGACCCTCCCTTCACCATTCTCAGACTCTGCTGCCCAGGATGACGCGCAGCCAGGAGATCCAAACTCCAGATGGACAGAAGAAGCAACTCCGTCTGCCCTCCACGTCAGCAGGGCAGGCTCCAGGGCAGCACTTCCTCCACGTCAGAAGACAGCATGCTCACGGAGGCCGTGGCCAGGGGACATTCCAAGTCACTATGATGAAGGGACCTCCTCCAACCCCCGTCAACCACTCCAACCCCCCAGAAATGCCCACTCAAGGTTTCTCCTTGAGTCTACTGACAAGATATGCTACTCTACCGTGTAATATTCCTGGCTCAGGAACGGGGAGAAATGGGAAAGTGGCTAGTCAAAGCACTTACATTTGACAGGCAAATCAGTTCTGCCCACCAGGAGGATGAGACTGAAAGAAATAACTTATCTTCACAGGAGGACAAAATCCTTGCACTTTCGAGGATGACTTGCTCGGGGTGTTAGAATAACATGGAAATTTAAACTGCACAACACTGGTACAGACCTAGCAGTGCACTGAGAAAAGAGAATTTTTCTACTGATGTCTGATTCATGGCACACTACCCTCTCCCTAAAGCACTGGTGTGTGTTCTTGCGCACACCCATGACTGAGACAGAGAACGCACAAGTCTGATGCACAGATATTCCAGTAAATTCCCACCTCAGGACAGGCTAATGAGTCAGCATTGCTCTGCAAAGTATAATGTTCTAGCCCAAATAATGCTCTATGCTTTAATACACTAAATGCACACATGTTTGTAAAACTCCTCCCCAATCAGCCTTTTCTAATGGTCTGCAGGAGTGCCCCACAGTGGAAAGAGCATGGGGTTAGGAGTCAGACCTGAGTTCAAGGACTGGCAGTGCCATTTACTAACAAGGGGCACATACCACTCACCCCTCCGGGACTCAGTTTGCCCTTCTGGAGAATGGAGAAAATCCTAGTCCTGCCTATTTCCCTCAGAAGGGTCTGGAGGAGGGAGGCCCTGCACCGCCACTTACAAACCATGGTGTACTGTCTAAGCAGGCCCCAGACCCCTCCGCTCCCTCCCGCCTCGCCCCTCACACCTTTCCTGACCACAGCTGGGCCCCACCAGCAACTGCCCTGCAGCGACCAACCAGCCCTGGGAAGAGGCACCCACCTCAGTCAGGCTCTGTTACTGTTCAACATACGAACATGAGGACGAAGTTCATTAAACACTGAACTCTCACCCCCCGCTACGTCATACTCCTGGGTCACGTGCTGACTCTGGGTTCCCCACGCTTCTCCACTTCCCAACCCATAACAGAGCTGTTAACCACTGGCCAAACCACGAGGGGCGTGTCCCTTCTAGGCTCCTCCCACCTCCTTCACTCGCTGATTTACCGCGGGCCAGCAGCTTCCCCTCCCTGCATCTCAACTTTCCTCATCTGTTAAATTAGTTCACTAGTAGCTGACCCAGAGCAGGGATGAAAGGAAGACAGCCAGACAACCAGGAGAAGGCCCAGGGCTGGGGTCGGGCCTGGGGCTGCTCCTTACCCTCCACGACGCCCACACCCACACTGCTCCGCCGTGTGTTCATTGGGGCCACGAAGAACCACTCATTGGTCTTGTAGCTGTAGGCTTCCACCGACGCTAGGCCTGGGAAACAAGAGACTCATGAGATTTCTGTGGCACCAGGCCTCACCCTGCTGTGCGGAGAACCAGTGTGGATGGGGAAGAGTGCAGACCAGGGGGCTAGAAACCTGGGCCAGCACGGCCTCCACCTCACTGCCTGAAACACATCCGCACTGCATCTCCCTGAGGGGACCACAGGGCGGGTTGTGAGAGGACAGGGTTAAAACTGCACTGCCCTGCAGGCATCAGTTGTTATATCTACAGAATGGGATAAATACCTCGGGTTGCCTCACTAAACACCTATTCCAACACTTTTTTCTCTTGTCTTCATCTACCTTAGAAGCTGAAAACTTGCCTTCTCAGACTCCCTTGCAGCTTGGGGTGAACAAATCAGTGTGACCCACCGAGAAATCTGATGGGGATTTCTGAAATATCCTTTGCTTTTATGATACAAATGTCACCCCTTCCTGCTTTTTGTACCTGGAACACAAATATGTAGGCTGGAACTGTAACAGCCATCTTGTGATCATGAGGATAAAGCCAAGAGACTCTCACAGAATTTGGCCCCAATATTTTTGAGCAACTGGACCAAGTTAGCAACTGCCAACCTCTAGACTTCTTGTTTCAAGAGTAAAACAAAATCTCTAATTTTTTAGGCCACAGTTTAGTCAGTTTGTCTAAAAACAGCCAAAAGAAAAATCCTAAAATAATTCTAAAAAGAAACAATGTCCCACTTCCCTTTTGTTCTCTTTACTCCCAGGTTCCATTACTAGAGGCAGCCCGGGAGGGCTAAAGACCCTGGAGTTACATGAGTGAGGTCCAGAGAGGCTGGTAGAAGTCACCCACTTGTAAAGAAACATAAAAAATCAGAGAAGTAAAAAAATTTTTTTTCACATCCCTTGGGGGGGAGGGTCAAAGGATATCACTTTATAATAGTTTCATAGAGTTACAGTCTACAGAGACACCACCTGGAGATATGAGGAGAAATGAGATAATCTCTCCAAGTCCACGTCCACTAATAGTTTCCGATTCTCCTTTTGAAGCTACATAAAAGACCAGGAGCAAAGGGATGTTCCCTCAGTGGCACAGCCTTGCAAAGATTTGGTGGGGAGTACAAAGGACAATGGACAAAAACTGTGTGCCCTGAGCTATGTCTCTTCCTGTGGCTAAACCTTCGCTCCCTCGTCTGTCCAACAGAGGGCTCAGACTACAGTCCTGAGACGCTCTCCAACTAAGCATGCTCTCTAAGTCTCATCTTCTGAGTAACGGGTTCCCAGCCACTGGCAGGGCGAAAAGCCCCCCTCCTGACAATTGGGGTCCTTCCTAAAGCCCTAGAAATGACACCACATGGGCAGTCACATTTTTTGTGTAGAAAGGCCTGGCTCTGATACCCAAGCTAGGAGAGAGGAAAGGATGGGTAACTTCTTGGGGAAGCAGCTATGGATGGACAGGAGGTTGGCCCAAGAACTGGTGGAGCAAACCAGTGTTGCAAGGAGGGTGTGTCCCAGACTGGGGCAGGTGGGGACCGTGTCCGGGACCTACCAGTACTGCCATCAAAGCCCCCCACGGCGTAGAGCAGGTCATTGAGCACAGCCGCACCCAGAGTGCTCCGGCGTTCCTGCATGCTGGCAATGGACGTCCACTGGTCCTTCACACCGTCATACACATCCACTGTCCGCACGCGCAGTGAGCCGTTAAACCCGCCCACGGCATACACGTGGCCAGCCATGAACACCACACCTGAGGCACAGAAAACCAAGGCACTGAGGCTGTCTCTGGCACCTGGTAACTCATGTAGATGAGTAACAAAGGGGAAGTCAGGCAGGCATATGAATAATTCACCACAGGAGAGGACCTCCGACTTTAGATACTTGGAAGTCATTATGGGACTCATCAGATTTCTTTTCATATTTGCTTTTCTGGTTTTGTTTCATTCAAGCAAACAAATTTTAGCTTGACACCCCTAAGCACAAAAGAACTGACCCCAGAAGGTACAGCTAGAAACTGGGCAAGTGGGGACAGAAAAGGAAGAGAGTCTATAATGCACAGATGTTTGGAGAAACAAGGAGCAGAGCATGACTTCTGCCACCAAGCAGAGAGAGGCAAGTCAGGGAAAGGCGGCCTGCACGCTGGGAGATGCTGCTGCTCACCGGCTCTGCATCTTCTGGAGGGAAGCTCAGCAATCTGGTCCCATCGGTCCTCCTCGAAGTCGTAGCACTCCACGCTGCGGATCGCCTTGGGCGCCTGTCCACCGACCACAATCATGACCTCCAGAAAGACAAGTGGGCATTAGCAGGGTCTCTCTAACACCCGATTCATGGGTGACCAATGTCTGGTACTTCCGCATAATAACTGCCCGGGGTCCATAGGTGACCTGAGATGCCAGGTTACAGAGCTACATACATGAAGATGCTGCCCCTAATCACCAACAGACGTGAATATCCACAAAATGTCTAATGAGCATCTTCCCACAGAAATGCAACCATTAAGATCTATGCTTCCCAGATGCCACTGCCCAGAGCTGCGTTTAGGACACATGCAGACACTCACAGCACCTTCTGCAATTTCAGCGCCCTCGAGGATTTTGGGCAGAAAGACTAAATTTTATATCAAAACAAAATATTCCCAAATATATATCAAAATTTGCATATATTTTGGAATACAGTACAAAATTTGAAAGCATTTTTAAGGTAAAATTACTTCAAAAATATTTGAATGCAATAGGCTACAGGGTATACTTATTCATTCTCTCATAACCACTGTTTTAGCCCATGAACCACAGGGATTTCCTGGTGGTGTGCCAGTAAAAATTTTGCCACTATGAATCACTGCAGTGCTCTTTACTTTCTGACAATGTATTTTTAGGAAGAGAAGTGATCCTCAAAATCAGTGTGAGCTCACACAAGTACATCCTTCAGGTGAACATTATCTATAATACGAGGACACAGACAACCACTACTCCAGATCAGGCGTGTAAGCCTCAAGACTCCAGACTCAGGCTCACCCACTGCACACCGTGGGTCATCTCTGGTCACCAGAGTTAGTCCACAGCCCTGTGTGGCCAAGTGGGTGACCAATGTTCAACAACTCAGAATTTACTTCTGACTTCTGGGACATCCAAAGGAACCCAGGACACAGTTCAGGCTTAGAGCTGCTGCTGCTTCTGGACGAAACATTTTCCATTCATGCCTCAGCACAGAGAGCCCAGTGCTCTGTGTCGAGGGCAGCCCTTTTACGAGGGGAGCTGAATTCTGCACTGCTTCCCACCTGTGACTCTTTGCTTACACAGGCATCCACGAACAGTTCAAGGGAGAACACAGCCCCTCAGCAAACTTTAGACAATGCCCAAGTCATCCAGGGTCAATAACGCCCCGCCTTCATAAACATACCTAGAACTTGCATTGTCCTTCTGGTTTTGAATTGGTAGAGCTAAAATGAAGTCAAAGTATTGCAAAAGTTTTCTTTGAAATGTAAATTTGGGGGCTCAGTGAGAAGCAAACTAGTGTTAAGTTTTCCTTCCTGCAGTGAACTCAGGCACCCGACACCCTCACGCAGGCTGTTCCCGACACCCTCACGCAGGCTGTTCCCGCTCCTTAAAACATGCCTCCTCCTTTCTGATCCCTCTGCTCTGACACCTACTATCTTTCAGGTCTCAGTTGACATGTCACTTTCTCCAAGAGCACCTCTCTGACCTCAAAATCTGAGTTACATGCTCCTTCTCTGGAATCACACCTGCCCAGTGTTCTCCCATTAAAATGACCATCATTGTACTTTAACCGCCTGGTGACCTTGTCTCCCCTCCTAGGCAGTGAGTTGTGCCAGGGCAGGAAATGTATCTACCTCAGTCACCAAGATGGCCCTAAGGCCTTATGGTGCTAGGTAAAAGTGAGGACTCAAATATTTATTTTGAATAAAGAATGAATGAATAGTAAATAGCACATGCAAAGAGTTACATGAAGGAAATACAGTTAAATGGGAAAAATACACAGGCCAGAATGTACTTTCTTGGGTAAGACATTGGACACCAAATTACAATTCTGGGGATGACAAGGAAAAACAAAATACAAAGAGAGAGAACTCATTCCATCCTCTGACTCAATTACCAAAAGAAATGTTTCTTACTCTTTAGACAAGCCGTCAGACTTCCGTAAATAAAAAAGGCGAAGCTTTCAGAAAAGCTCGCCATCCCTAGAAACCGTCTCCCACCAGGGCACCAGCAGGTACATTCGCACTGAGGAGAATCCCACACTGAGAATTTTCGTAGTAACACAGAAACGGAATTAGAGAAATACAAAAATTTCAATGTTCAAGTGAAACATGAGTAGAAAGACAAAAATAATACAGGACAAGATTTTTAAAATAAATTTTCCTCTGGGCTCATAAAAACACTGGTGAGAGAAGACTTTTAATTCTCAAAACCTGTACAACAATCTGCGAAGAGTAATTATGAGGTTGTGTGAAATAGGACCATCGGTTCCCGGAAATGTGGAGGCTGCTCAAGGCCGCGGGAGAACTATCTCTCTGTCTCTCTCCTAGGCCCAAGAAATCCGATTTCCACGGCAACCCTCGCAAGAAGCCACCATACAAAGAGCACTACACTCATCACCATGTAATCATGCAGAGTAAAAAGAATAAATTTTCTATCTTGAACACTGATTAATGATTGTTTCCACAGATACCTGATCTTAGCAACCAATCAGACAAAAATGAGTCCACATGCATTACATCTCTGAAATTATAAACCTCTGGCTACTTACGAAGACCACAGGGTATCAGGGCAAGAAGAGACCTGAACCACTGTCTCTTGCAAGCCCTCATTCTACATTTCCAGAAAAACTCAGGCCCCAGAAGTTCAATAGGCGTATTTTTTTTTTTTTTGCCTCAATGCCCCTACATTCCAATTTACTAGATATTGGTAATGCCTTTAACAGAAATTACTGAATCAAATCAGCTTATTTAATGATCACTACTTTTAACATTTATCCTTCAAGGTAACCCAAGGTAACAAGGTTACTACCAGTAATCATGTGGGAATCACAATAATCTAAGGAACCAGTTCTGGGCTAACAATTATGCGAGACTGAACATGCTTTAATCATGCTCAAGAACTGCAATGTACTTGGGCGTCCCGCAGGAATCCTCAGGGTTCTACCCCCAAGTCTCAACTGACACCGTGTTGAAGGCTGCAGAAGTTCTGCAAGAGTTCTGGCTGACGGACCACAGGTGAGCCAGACTCGGCTGTGTGTGGGGGATGATCATTGGACAACTCCCAAGAAAAGCAAGCTCATTCAGGAAAAGTCAAATGGCCATTTACTTTAGGGAGATTAGTGAGTGAGACCATGGAAAAACTACCTGACTCCATAGGAAGGAAATTTCACTCCCAGCAAAATACAATCATTTTTAAGTAAATACAAAATGCTCTTTTTCACAGAGAATAGCCAGGGAAAGGAACAGCAGGTAAGCAGAGTGGAGCTTTCCGACGCACTGTGGGTCGAGACCCTAACCCTAAACCCGCGAGTCCTTAAACTCTCCACAAAGATGAGAGTAACAAGCTAGGCTCTGCACACTTTTTTCATCAGGCAAGAGTAGTGTGTCCAAACTCTCTTCCATGACCGGTGAGCTGGGCAGAAGGCAGGCCCAGCCAGTCGGTCCCTCGGGCCAGGGCAGGAAATGAGACTCTCTCTTACCCTGGTGCGTGGGGCCGCAGGGCTAACACCAAAAGTTCATCCGAAGGACCATGTCGAGGTGGAGGCAGAAGACTTGTCCCAGCAGGTTCCTGAGCAACAGGTGCTCCAGGCAAGGACTGACAGCCAAGGTGCAGACACAATGGGTTAGAGAACCAGCAATGAAAAACAAGACCCGAAGAGACAGGAGTGGGCAAACGGGCTTTGGAGTCAGGCACACCTGGAGTCAAATATCAGCCCGGTCACTAAATAGCTGTGTGACCCTTGCTGAGCCTCACTTTCATCACCCATAATATCAGGATAACAGAATGTTTCTTCTATGGGTGTCAGGAGGTTTAAATGCTATGAAGGACTTAGTACAGTGCTTAGTAAACAGCACACACTAAATGTTAGCTTCTGTTATTAGATCCATGCCAGCATCATTACTATTACCACCACTATTGAAGCAGTTGCTAAAAAACAGACTCCCAATAAATGGTAAAAAAAGAATACACAATCTGTGAATAGGAGAGTGAGCACCACCACTAATTCCAAGGGTGATGATGGGGCTTTTTCAAGACCTCAGGGTGTTTTCCAGGTGTGGCCTGAGTCCATTTAAAGGGCCAAGAAGGAAGAGGAGCAGTGCCAACCCAGAGGCCTGGCCCAGGTGAGAAGTCATCCTACCCACCCTGCCAACAGCCTTGTTACCAGTACCATCTACTGAAAGCAGGACAGCTCAGCTCAGGAGAAATCCACCCACTTTCAGCCCAGTGGCTTTTTGGTGTCATTTTAAAGAGTTGAATAGAGATGTCAGCTGAACTGAAATTACAATGATAAGTGCCAGGCTCAGTACCTCTCCAAAGGATTCATTTGCAACTTCCTGGAACCTCATTTCTCTACTGCAGTCTGTGGAACACAGCAACACAGGGGTATTTTGAGCAGCTGGGAGCCAGCCTCTGGTTGTCCATGGCAACCCGGCCTCAGGGAAAGTGCTGGGCGGTGAATGTGTGGGAGCACAGATGATGCTATTAGCTGTTCCGGTTAGAATGTGTCAGTATGAGCTGGGCATATAAGGCCTCAGAAAAACACACCCTTATTAGCCTCTGCAGCTATGTCAAGGCAGAGTCCTATTCCTTTCAGGGAGAGAGCTTGGCTGGCAAACAGGTTCACTGCTGAGAATTGCCAAGAGCAGTGCAAATCTCTCCGCCGCCATGTTTCTCAAAGCCAGCTCTGTCAGCAAGCCTATCTGGACTGAATTCTTGATAGCCCAACCTAGCCTGTCCTTGGAATTCCTGTGGGTGCTCCTCCAATGAGCCCAATAATCTCCTGCCTCCTCCTCATTCTCCACTGATTTGCTTACTTGTATATTTCTATCTCACTTTCTCAGAGGGACTTCTTAAAATTAAAAGTCCCCAGAGGGCAGAATTGGGCTTCTTTCCACACAGTACCCAGCCAAAACGCTTTTGTGAAGTTTGGAGGGAGTATAATAGAACATTTAAAGGCACAGGGTCTGTAGTCTATCATCCCTGGCTTAAACCTCAGCTTGGCTATTTCCTAGCTGTGCTTTAAAGATGCATCACAAATTCTGTAATACTCCTCCACTCA